TTTAAGCTAAAGCTAGGCGACATAACGTGAACTTAAAGGAATTTGTAGTAACAGGTCATGTTAGGCAATCTCTACTCTTAATGCTGCATAAAGACTCAGAAAATTCATCAGAATACAAAGAAGGCATTCAAAGTGAAAACCAGGAAATTAAGCAGATTTTCACAACTATCTCGAGATGCTTTAAGCTCAGTCTAAAATTAATGCCTATTTCTCTTATGGACTCATAAACTGAGTTTGCAACCATTAACTTTATTTTTCATTTGTTTTCATAGAAAGACTCATGTGTAAATGCCTAATACCTTATATCATCCAACAAAACAATCTAGGAACCAACTTTTACAGTTGTCTCAGTTAAGCCTTAATGAACAAAAGCTGCCGAAATAAAAATTGGATTTACTGTGTTCAAAAGAGAAAATAATTTCTCTATTCCATGAAGAAGAAAAAAAATGAAAAATACTCTTGTTGTATAAAAATTTGGTCAGTCTCAGCTGAGCCCTCTGATCAAGTGAGACAGACTTCAGGATTCCCTCCCTGTCTTTATAATACCTAGTTTAAGCAAGAATCCTACTTGAGCAGTGGTTCTCAACCTTCCTAATGTTGTGACCCTTTAACACATTTCCTCATGTTGTGGTGAGCTGAACCTTTTTTTTTTTATTTCTTTTGCTACTTCATAACTGTAATTTTGTTACTTTACTGTTATGAATCATAACATGTATATTTGTGTTTTCCAGTGGTCTAGGGTGAACCCTGTGAAAGGGTCATTTGACCCATTTGGGGTTGCAACTTGGAGGCTGAGAACCTCTGTGCTAAGTCAACTCACTTACAAATCTCCCTTCATGATCCTGACCACTTTCAACATAGGCTAAAATTCTTTTTGAAAACATGTGAAATCCTTACATTGCTATCAAGATGTTATTAGTCACTCTGGTCTGTCTTCAGTAAAATGAACTCAGGTTTGTCTGTCCTGAGAATTATTTTCTATTTAATTATTGCTGTCTAGAGGTGTTGATAACGGTCATTTCCTCTGCCAGTTAAAGAATTAAAACGCAGCATTATAGCAGGCAGCAACAGGTAACAAACATTACAAATGAAGAAGCCCAGAGAGAGAGAGAGAGAGAGAGAGAGAGAGAGAGAGAGAGAGAAGCAGAGGAAGGGCTCTTTGCAGAGCAGAGAAGGGACCTAAATCTATGAAAAATTTAAGTGATTTTGGTGGCCTGAGATGGGATCCCCTCTCCTAATTTTGAGTTGGATGGCCTAAACAAAGAGAAGAAGGCTGATTGCTCCACAGCTTTAGATAAACATATTAAAGAATGACTCTGAATATGCCATTGTCCTGGAACTGGTCAGCCAGAATAGTAGCCCTGTTGGTAAAAAAAATAAAATAAAAATAAAAATAAAAACTCACCAGACCTTTGTTAGGATAGGGGAAAAAGTCAGGAGTTTGCCATCTTTGGTATTTATCAGTGGCTGTCTTCCTTATCTCTCTGACTGCCAGGAATCTGGCTGGCTCCTAGTCCCTTACAGGTAGAGCCTACCAACAACTTAATTCTGCACTTTAAATCACCATTAGTCCTCATACTACTTAATTCACCATAGTTTCCCTTCTCAAACCTGTGCTAATACTCTCAGTAGCAAGGAGCTTCTATTGCCTTTCCTTTTAACTAACATAACAGAAAAAAATATGGTACTTAAAGTCATACCAACCACTAGCACTGTCCTCTCTGTAAGAGAAAAATCCAAGTCAAGCAAGAGGTAGACAGATTTATCAGAAAAATACTATATTCTGATGATAGGTCTAACTAGTTTTGGAGTGGAGAAATATAAGGTCCCTTGTTTAAATTGGAAATCAATGGGAACCAGAAATCAGAACTGAATGAGTGAAATGGTAACAGAGTTAAGGTGACCAAAATGAATGATCACAGAAAGCAAGGGAATGGACATACCTCATAATCAAAGAAGGGGTGCACAGGCTCATCTGTGAAGAATTCTTAGAGATAGGGGATGAGTGATGAGAATAAGCACCATTTAATTTGAGCATTCTCCCACAAACTCTTTTCATCAGTCAATGTAGTAAGCTGTTTATAATGCACTAAAGAACTAAGAGGGGGGGAAAAAGGTGACAGAATGCATGAAAATTACTTCAAATATTAGGTAATTGTCAAAAGAAGTGACATGCAATACTTGGCATGACTCACTTAGGTAGGAGGTGACAGTAGATAAAATTAAAAGAAGTCAGAAAAATGTGAGATTTTCTTTAAAGAAATATATAATCATAATGGAAAATGCCATAAAATCTGCTTATGTACTTAAAATACTGACATATTATGGACAGAAAGAATGTACTGATGAAATAATTCTTGTTTATGTTTATGAGTGTATTATTAATTATAAAGATTATGTGCACAGTCACATTTGATCCATTCAGATGTATGAATAATGAGTTTGAATTATTTCAAAATATTTGAAAATATGCAACACTAATGATTTTAATGGTAGTTTAAACCTATCAAAATAGTTATCCTTTATCAAAAAACCAAAATCATAGTACAAGGATGACTAAGACAAAATATAAATGAAGAGATTTTTTTTCCCTTGCATTGCTCAATCCAGACAAGCTGACAATCAAGTATAACCAACTCTAGTCTCAGAACTTTTCATGAGAAAGGTCGGTTACCTTGATCACCATTATTATGTTAATGTCAAAGACGAATTCAATGATCAGAAAGCTAAGGAGGTTTAGACAGTATACTGTAAAATGGTCATCAACAACCCTCTCCATTTCTCTTTAGGACTATCAGAGCACAAGCTGAGTGTGGTAGGGAGTTGGTATCAGTTGCTGTTGTACAATGAGTCTAGTAAATATGAGTCCCTGAAGTTGATGATATTTACTGGTCATTCTGTGTTCTTTTTTGTATTTTATTTTATTTTATTGATTGATTTATTATTTATTACAATTTATTCACTTTGTATCTCTGCTATAGCCCCCTCCGTTGTCTCCTCTCAGTCCCACCTGCCCTTCCTTTCCTCCCTCTTCTCCCCCTATGCCCCTCCCCTAGTCCACTGATAGGGGAGGTCCTCCTTTTATCTAACCCTAGCCTATCAGGTCTCATCAGGACTGGCTGCATTTAATTCCTCCATGGCATAGCAAGAGCAAGGCTGCATTCCCCCCCCCCCAAGTGGAGATGATCAGGGAGCCTGCCACTGACTTCATGTCAGAGACAGTCCCTGTTCCCCTTACTAGGGTACCACTTGGATACTGAGCTGCCTATGGTCTACATCTGACCAGGAGGTCTAGGTCCTCTCCATGCATGGTCTTTTGTTCTCACATTGGTCTCCTCAGGACCCTCTAGGACCAGATTTTTATTGGCTCTGTTGGTATCCTTGTAGAGCTCCTGTTCCCTCCAGGTTTTCTATCTCCCCCTCCTTTCATAAGAATCCCTGTACTCTGCCCAAAGTTTGGCTGTGAGTCTCAGCATCTGCTTCGATACCCTGCTGGGTAGATTCTTTCAGAGGTCCTCTGTGGTAAGCTCCTGTTCTGTTCCCTCTCTTCTCCCATTGCTGATGTCTATCATTTTGTGTTTTTAATAACCGAATGATAATTCTCTCTAAACCTTTATGTAAAAGTCATTGCAGAGCATCATAGATAGATGATGGGTATGTATATATATGATAAATAGAGATAGATGATGAGATAAACATATATACATATATATTATTACATATGTGAGTAATTAAAAAACACAGAAAATGATCAATTGAATAAATTCATCTAATCCTACCACTGACTCATAGCAACCAATTAGACTGCTAGCAGGGACAAGGAAATCCCTCTGCAACCTTCCATAAAGTTTTATTTCCAGAAACAGCCTTGAAAAAACTGTACACAATTGCCTACAGGGATCATTTACCTTCCCAGACTCTGGCATTTACCCTTCATCACAATAGCTTACTCATGTTTTCCCCCAGTAAGACTCCTGTCAGTGTCCTATCACAGCTTAATCAAAACGCTTTCCCCCACAGTCACCACAGCACTTAAAAAAAAGTATAATAAACATTGTAAGCACATATTTACTACAAGATTCCCATAAACATTCTTATGTAAAATATGACATTCTTGACTAAGTTATATTATGTATTATGTACCTATCCATTACTCAAAGTAATTGCTTGTAATTTTGAGCCACTGACTGAATCAAGGCCTTAATTAAATTGGCCACTGGTTATATCAACTCCTGATTCAATAAAGCAATAATTAGATATGCCACTTTTGCATCAACATCAGATTAGATCAGTCTCAGTTTGGATAAATCTCTGAAAAAATTAGCCCCAGTAAAATTAGGCACTGTCAATCCCATTATTAGATTAGTCAGTGCTTGGATCAAAACCTTGATTTTTGGCCAGTATTTATCAGATTGACCACTGTTTAGATCAATCTCTGACAAGATCAGTCCCAGATCAGGCTGGCAACTGAGTGAATCAACCCGTGATCAGGACCAAGTACTGATCAATCTCTGATTTGGATTAATGCTTGATTGGGTTGGACCTCCTTTTACTCCATTAAGACATAGATTAAAATTGACCCTTGTTGGTCAAGTCTGAAATCTGAAATTCTAAGAAAGAATTAATAAGGATAATTAGGTCACAGAAAATTTGATTTTAAAGGTTATCAACTGATGCAGTGTCTAAATCCAGGCTATAGAAATACTTTAATTGTTCTGCTTATTCATTATGTTTAGATTATATGACACTTCTAAGTGAGAAAGTTTCCCATAAAATAATCTGCTTTCTCTTTCAAAAAAATAAATCAGAGGCTCATTAATGTTGGTCTCAAATCTGCTTGACAATATTAGGCCTAGATTTTGCACCAAGACCCAGATTATTGTATTTGATGTCATGTACTTGATGAAGGCACTTGCTGTGCCTTCAGAAGCATTGGATTTATAACCTACTATAAACATGATTTATGACATAAAACTTTTGGAAATGTAGCACTTTCTTACCTTATATACAGATGGCTGGTACTTAGAAAATTTTCACTGAGAATTCAGGCCTCTTTCACTTCTCAAATGCAGTAAAGTATATGACTCTTGAAGCTTAGTCAGTTTATCTATGAATAAGACAGTAATAAGACACTTGAACAAAATCTATTTCCTGTTATACAGTTAACAATACTTATCTTGACTAGCTCAAGTCAAGTCCTGAAACTGTCCTACAGAGTTCTTCCCTAAAAATTTCTACACCAGCCTCAGCTCAGCAAGGAAAATGTAAAGAAATAATGTAGAATTAAATCATGACAAGAAGTTAAGAAATAAATTTGCAGGAGCTGTAATGATGGCTCAGTGGTTAAGTCTTTCAGGGGACTCAGGTTCAATTCTCAGCAACTACATCGTGAGTCACAACCTTCTGTAGCTCCAGGTCAGTGGGATCCATTGCCCTTTTCTGACCTTGAGGGCACTAGACACACATGTTACAAGGCAGTCAAAACAACTATATACATACAAATAATTTTAAAATATGAAGGAAAATAAAATTGTATGTGAGAGAAAAACTTCTTCAAAAAGAAACTAATAATATTAATCATCTCTCAAGCCAGCCTCACAAACTTAATGTCAAAATATTTGTATAAATGCAAGCTTATGTGGTCAATCAAGTTCGTGATTTGTTAAAATACATGTAGCTGTTAAAATATATTGTTTAGAAGGTTAATCTTTATTGGGATAATAAAAAATTGTCAAGTGGCTTGTCTCACTATTTCATAGTAATTTATCAAAACAGATCTTAGAAATCTTTCTAGGCTTAGCTCATAAAAAGAGAAAATAAGTATAAGAGTTTTACTGATGAATCTGTGCTCTTAATAGCTCAATGATATTTTTTCTCTAAACCTTTGTAAAAATTCATTGCTATGCTCATTCTAAATCTTTTGCTAAAAATGAATGTTTACCTCACTTTATATTTAGCATATTTACAAAACAAAAGATTTATGTATAAAATCACATATAGTCATACATACATCTGTATAATATATATATATACATACATACATACATACATACATACATACATACATACATACATACATAAAGAGGGGGAGATGGAAGGGGAAGAAAAGGAAGAGAGGGGAGAGTTAAAGGTGAAATTGGGACACACAGAGAGAAAATTCAGAGACGGGAGTCTTATGTGGAAAGCTAACAATTAACTTTAGTTCTAACTTTGTTTTCCATTCAAACCAAAGCTTTAGAGTATGTAATGTTAGAAAAGACAAGGTAAGAAAATAATAAGGAATACAAAAGTCAGTGTAAATAACTATTATTTCAACACTATAAAGCCAGCCATGGGCTCAATCATGCCAAAGTTTGGGGTGAGATTGCTACTATTGGAGAGAGAACACTGGAGAGCACACGATATTTTTGGTGACAGAAAACTGTATAGCAGAAGACATTCCTAGAAAAGGTTTCCGTATTTATATTACTATAAATTCGACAGGTCCAGTGAAGCTACTGTGCTGCTATAAAAATAAAGTTAAAATGTGAAGATAGACATATATGCCCTTCTTCTAAATCATTTGTGCAGGGAGATTGCCTTAGCTCATCTATCCCCAGATAGCGTTATAGCCCAATCACCTTTCATGAAAAAAAAAATGTTTATAAGAAACAATAAAGAAAATGGGTTTAATGTACATTCCAATCATTCAATCGAGTTCTGCCTACATTAGTAAAGTCACTTGATTTGAATGCTCAGCAGGTGCTCCAGTTATCTTCACAGCTGCTGTGTACCTGACTGATGTGCTCCTGGGAAGAAGAATGTTTAACATGGTACTCACTCACTGGTACTGTTAATTCCCCCTTATTGCGGTGGATGTGAATCCAATGACTAGTAACTAGGTAGTTTCTAACAATTCCCATTCATGACCTCATAATTCTAAAGGTCAGAATTTCGGGTAGTCATGACTTAGGTTACCTAGGCTGTCTCAGCTAGGTTCTCTAGACTTCTTTTGGGGAGAATCAGCTTCAACTTAAGGTTCATAAGGTTTTTGGCAAATGTCTTCATTAAACTTTCTTGTTGCCTCCCTTGGCTTGTAGAGACATCTACATTTCTTCCTAAATTGTCCCCTCCATATCAAAGCTAGGAAAGCTGCATCATCGTCTTCTATTTTGAATTTCTCTGATGCTCCTGTCTTCTCTCTTTCACCATCAGCTGGATACAGTTCTCTGCCATATGTATTTGTATTTTGAGTAGGTCCAATCACTTTACTTCAAAAAAAAAAAAGGTCATCTGTCCTAAATGACAAGCCCCAGTGACAGCAGTATCTCATTACATGCACAAGTTCTGGAGATAGAGACAAAGAAAATAAATTTTATGTGACCTTTATATAAAGTCTGCCTATCCTATCTGTCAGTTCATATTTTGGCATTGTTGAGGACACTTCATAAGTACAATGCCAACCATAAAAACTTTTAAATGATGAACAACATTCTGAATGTTTACTAAAGGAAGCCTCAGCTTTCTGGTAGGCTATACAAATTTGCCAAGCAGGACATTGAGGGCTGTCAGTCAACACAGCACTCAATGCCAGTTAGGAGTACATCTCCTCTAGATCTCTATAAGAAGTCAGCCTGATATGTTGGATATGACCAATCTAGATGCAAAGGCTCCTTGTCCATTTAAAAATCACATGAATTGTATTATGTAAATTCTACAATCTGCACAATTTAATAAGTGGTCTTGAGAAGCTGGAAATGTAGCTCAGTCAGTAATGTGTTTGCTGTACAAGCACAAGAACCTCAGTTTGACTCCCCAGAATCCAGGTAAAAGCAGGATATGATGGTCTTCACTTATAATCTCAGGACAATGAAAGCAGAGACAGGTGATCCCTGGCACTCCCTAGACAGTCAACCTAGTTCCAGGCAGAGAGTTCCAGGAAGTGAGCACAACTGTTATAAAACAAATTCTTAGAAAAGGTATTCTGCACCTGAGGAGAGGCACACAAGGTTGACCTTTGACCTCCACACAAAACTGCATATACAGTTAAACACACACATTGCACAGGAACATAAATATACAGAGACTCATATACACAAATATAAATGGTAATAACATTTGAGTGGTATTTAACCCATTAGTGACTATAACAGATAGCTAAAGGAGTTATTGAAGCAAGATGATGTCAATACTGAAACAGTATAATTTTTCTAGTGTTTAATATATGTGGTTGTGATAGATGGTACTTTCTGAAAATGAACACAAAAATACTCATTTATGGCATTCTGTTAGCTTCATCTGCTTTGGGGTGTTTCAGGTGTCAGTTGACTATATATTTCTAACTGTCACATCTTTTGATAGAAAAATTGGCATTTTATCTTTTAAAATTTACTTCTTTATCATTGGCAATAATTGTGTGGGGTGGTATATGTGTGTGGAGAAGTGTCCATGTTTGTGCATCTCTCTTCCCACAAGTAGAGGACACAGGAAAGGCACCAAGTGTCTTCCTCTATCACTTTCTGCCTAATTCCCTTGGCACAGAGACTAATTATTCAGTGTTATAGCTAGCTAGGCTTGCTGGCAAGTGAGTTGCAAGGATCTGCTTGTCTCTAAAGCCCCAAAGCTAAGGTTATGGGCATAAATGGCTATACTTGTCTTTTTACGTGGATGCTGAGGATTTGAACTCAGGCCTCCATGCTTCTACAGCAAACACTCTAACTCGCTGAGCCAGCTACTGTAGGAAGAGTTTTTCCTCCAAGTCTATCTTATATATTAGAATAGCCTCCCCAAACCATTTTCATTACTGTTTACATCTTACATCTTTTTTCTATCCTTTAACTTTCAATGTTTTGTGACTCTGAATATAAGGAATGTCTCTGTAGCCAGCATATAGTTGGCTATTTATGTTTTCTATTCTATCATGCCAATTTAGGCCTTTTAATTGGAAAACCTAGTTCACTCATATTTAACAAGATTACTAACAAAGTAGGATTTGTCTCTGGAATTTTCATATTTATTTCTGGTATGTATTGTGCTTTTCTGTTATTCTATTCCTCCATTATTACCATTTTGTGTTAAAATGGCTCAGCTTAATTCATCTGACATTTACTTAGATACATATTTTTCACTTATTTTATTAATGTTTGCTTTAGAAATGTCAATCAAACCAACTTTTTCTGTACTAGATATTTAACCTAGGGCCTTGGGCATGATGGACAAGTGATCTACCACTGAACTATGTCCATCCTTCTCTGTTCAAATTTTATTTTTAAAACTTTGTTTCACTGAAATTCAAAGGCTGGCCAGGAACTTACTCTGTGGACAAGATTAACCTTGAACTTTTGATCAATCCCCTTGCTCCTGTCTCCTGAATTTCTAGGTTGCAGGCATGCACCACAGGGCCAGCAGTTAATACTTATTTAACTGCAGCAGAATATAAAAACTTCTGCTCCAGTTTATCACCAGTCCACTGCAGCACTTGTTCTTTACTTTGTGGGTTCTTTCCTTTCTCTCTTCTACCTTTCTCTGTCCCTTTATATCTCCCGTTTTCATTCCTTAACACTAGATTGGAGAGAAAAATGGATAGAGGGGAAAGCAGGAATCGTTACTGCTAGAGTACTTCCAATAATGTAAGTTAGTTATGTATAGCAATGGTTTCATTGTACCATTTTCACACATGTATGCAATGTATTTTGGTCGTATTCACAACCATTCTCTCTTTTGTCCTCTCCTACATGCACTGCTCTCCTTCTTCCCACCTATTCTTCTTTTATTTCTCATGTCTTAGGGTTTCTCATAGGAACATAGGTGAACAACCACTTACATGAACATGGGCGTACAGTGTCTATGCCAATGTGGAAACTGTGTTTCCCTTGGCAATCATCCTCAATTTATAGATTTTTTTTTTTTTTTTTTTTTTTGTAATCTACTGAAACTGTAGCTTTCACTCTCCAGTTTTTCCATCTCTTTTCCCCCAACGCCTTTATCTTAGCATTCAGGGTGTTCTCCTCACTCCAACAAATTATCCTCAGGTTCTCTCTTGTGTGTTTTTTTAAAATTCTTTCATCAATGAATTAGAAAGATAATCTGCATCCACTGAGACAGTTCCACCGTTTTCCCACCCATGTT